AAAAAAAAAAAAAAAAAAACATACATACATACATACACATATGTATATGTTTTACTTCATGTGGTTAAACTTGTGTCTGCATTTAAGAGTTTTCATTCCTCCCTAAGCTGATTTCCCTCAGTTCCTGTTTTACTTGTGTTCGGTGTGAGACATGAAGCCCAGAGCCCCGCATCAATTCACTCTCACCACCAACCCCCAATACTGGGAATTGAAACAAGGGCCCCTGCACTAAGCTACATCCCTAGTCTTGTTTTATTTTTAATTCTGAGACATGGTGTTGTGGAGTTGCTAAATTGCCCAGGCTAGGCTAGAACTTGAAATCCTCTTGCCTCAGCCTCCCACAGCACTAGATTATAAGCATATGCCACCATGACTAGCATCAATTCATTTCGTAATTTAGCTTTTCACAAAATGTGGACTGCCATTCACCTACATCAGAATTGTCCGGAAGGTTTGCTAAAGTAGTTAAACTTCTGTCTCAAGGTAACATTAAGTTTCTGTGTTATATGCAGCAAATTTAATCATAACTGATACAGTGATAAACTTAGCCAGTAACACATAGCAATAGTTTTACTCATGCCAGACACAGTCCAATCAATGGCAATACTCCTTTCCTTTCTAAAAAGTGGACTGAAGCAAGCATTTCTAGAAAACTTGGGAAACAGAATGTTTAAAAATACTGCCCAGGTAATTCTCATGCACATTGAAGTCTACCAATTCCTGCCTTGAATCTAGTAAAGAGAGCTTCGCCAAACTCAAGATCTTTAAATGAACATATTAATCTTCCCAAAGCACGAGAGGATGTCTCCCTGAACTCCTCCTCCTCATCTAACCACACCTTTCATTGGCTTCTGGGTTACTAAAGCAGACTTCCCTCTCCCCTTCCCTCATCTCATTTTCCTGCTCGAGACTGAGTAAGTGCTATGGTTTTCCCACCTCTTTCACCTGCTTACGCTGTATTAGTCCTTCACCTACCATGAGTCATAACCATCTCTGCCTGTGCAATGCCATGGGTGTTCAGGCAAGAAAATTTTTCCAGAGAGCCACTCTCTCTACTTTCAACCACATGTATCTCTCAGTCAGGATGGCCAAAACATTTGTATACTTTTCATCTTTTGTGTACTATTCTTTTTCTACTCTAAGTTCCTTAAGCCCTAAGTATTTATAAATACTACAGAGCTGAGATATAAATTTTATAGAATTTAAAATAATTCATATTATTGAATGTAATTTAAACCTAGACAATTTACTTATCAAGTAAATACTTTTGTTTTATTTTGTTTTTTGAGACAGGGTCCACTAGTTCAGGTTGGCCTTGGGCTCATCATGTAGCCCAGGCTGACCTCAAATTCATGGCAGTCCTCCTGCCTCAGCTTCCTGAGTGATGGGATTACAGGCGTGCACCAGTACATCCAGCAGTAAACACATTTTTAAGAACTGAAGGAACAGCACATCTGCAACCCCAGCACTTGGGAGGCTGAGGCAGGAGGACTGATATAAGTTCAAGGCCAACCTGGGCTACATAATGAGCTCAAAGCCAGCCTGAGCTACATAGCAAGACACTATCTCAAAAAAACAAAAAATAAAAACAAACCAACAAAAAAAGAACTGAAGGGGCTGGGGATTTAGCTCAGTGGCGCAGCGCCTGCCTGGCAAGTGCGAGGTTATGAGTTCGATTCCCGGTGCTGGGGAAAAAAGAAAAAGAACTGAAGGAACTATGAATAAATACAAGTTTAACGGTAATTATATAATCAATTTAAATTTGCTCATACTGAACACAGCTGTTTTGATTTATATCTAAAATGTCTCCCCGAAGTCTCATGTGTTCAGAGGCTGGCTTTGGAAGGTGATTAAATCTCAGGATGCTATGCTCATCTTGGATTTATCCACTGATGAGTTCATAGCTAAACGTACTGTTAGGAGGTGGGGCCTGGTGGAGGGGGTGTGACCTGGAAGGGTATTCTTATCCCTGGCTTTTCTTATCTCTCTTTCTCTCTCTCTCTCTCTCTCTCTCTGCTTCCTGGCTGCCACTAGGTGGGCAGCTTCCCTCCACCACACCCTCTGCCACGCTGTTTCTGCCTTAAAGGCAACCAACCATGGACCATAATCCTCTGAAACTGTGAGCCAAAATAAACCTCTCCTCCTTTACATTACAAGTACCAGGTATTCTGTTCCAGGGACAAGAAAGAGACTAACACAATAGCCAACTTACATGCAAACATACTGCTTATCTTGCAATCAAATAAATTATTTTCTAGTTGTGTAACTGTGCTTAACTTTACCTTGCTCATGTTCTAACAGCTGTAGTGCTTCAACTCCATTACTTCCAGAAGGTCCCGCTCCAAGTTCTGATACAGACTCTCCCTCCAAGTCTAGAGAAGACACTGAATTGGAGCGATTTGAAGGACCTAGAGAAATGTTCACCTTGTGAGCAACCTTTTTAAAACATTCATTAGCTATCATGCAATTTTTTATGCCTTGGTAAGAGAGTAAAGACTGATTAAAGTTCTTTCAACAAACATTTATATCTTGAAAACATACATGCTCCTCAAGCCAGCAATTCTGCTTCTAGGACTTTATTCTAAAAAACTAATCCAAAACTAATCCAAGTTTGCTTGTTGCAGAACCTCTGGTAACAGTGGTGGCATGCACACTGCAGCAGGCACATAGAACACTGTCTGCATGTGACCCACGTCACCCCAGCCAAGGTTTGACAAGTTAGCAACATGCATACACAGAGATCACATTAACTGTGCACAAGCACACTAAATGCAAGCTTTTACCTTTCAGTAAAAAGCTATTTGTATTATTAAAACCTCTGTTACTGTGTTTTTCTTTTAAGACAAAAGATATTAATGTATGAGTTATTTTTTCCAAACTAAAACCTCAGTATTCAGGTTTAATGGTAGTGTTGGAGCTTCATGATAAATAAGTGGGTTTTGGGTTGTAGTTGGGTACTCAGTCTCTAACAGGCTCGCCATCACTGTCCTATAATGCCTGAAACATAGAAGCAGTTTACCTATTTACTCATAGAAAAATACTGAAATAGCTTATGACATGCCAATTTGAAGTTCTGTTTTGTTTTTTCTTGAGACAGGGTTTCACTACACAGTTCAGGCTGGCCTTGAGCTCACCCTGTAGCCCAAGCTGGCCTCCAACTCACAGCAATCCTCCTGCCTCAGCCTTCCAAGTGCTGGGATTACAGGAGTGCACCACTAAAAAAGTGTTTTAATATGTGTAATGACACTTTCTCAATTCACAATCTTGGCTTATGATTTTCTTTTTTATTCCTATTCCCACTGTATCTTGTTTCATAAAGGTGTGAGCATTAAAAAAACCACACATCATTCAAAGTACACTGGAATACTAGTAAGTCCATTTTTCCCATTTGTACATGCATTATATCCTTCTAAAGGAGCTCTATAAGCTTTGGTATATATTAATACTGAGAAAAAACTTGCTATTATTCTATTAAATTCTTCATTTTATAAAACCAATAGCCTCTTAAAATCTTAAGGAAAGAATATAGATAACTGTTCCAAGTTCATTAGAGGAAATTTCATTACTCTCCTCAGTGAGAGGTACAGATGGTATAATTTATAAGGCTCCTTTAAAGAACACAAACAAAACAGTACTTGAATCACACAACTCCTGGAATGAAGTAACCCTTCACCTTCAGATATGCCTTCCAGATTATCACTGCAGAGGGAAAAGCGCAAGGTTTTATCAGGTTTACCGTGGAGTTTGTTTTCATCAACTGGGACATCTCCTTGTCCTCCATCCGCAAGTTGCATGTTTAGGACCTGAAAAATACAATGTCAATTTTGGTTTATTACAAATGAAAGAAAGAAAGAAAAAGAAAGAAAAAAAAAAATGAAAGACTACCAATAAGAAAATAAACCACAGCAAACACATGTTTAAATTCTTAATAATAAATGATCATTTCAAGTTTAAACTCATTTACAAGGGCTGGCAAGCTTTTAAAATCAATGGAATATCAGTAAAAGAGGATCAGTTAAACGAGAGAGACTATGCCTTTCCATCAACCTACCAGTGTCAGAGATTAAATGATCAGACATAGAGTGAGCAAGAGTTGAGATTTAACACCTGGAATCCAAAACAAAACCACTCCAAACCTTTCCAAGTCCTTACACACTGGCTCTGTCTGTGTGAGGACACTTCCTCAACACTTAGCCAGCCAGTCCTCACCTGTCCCTTGGCCTTCACTTCCTATCTGCAGGCCTTCCAAGTTCTTTCCTAAGCATGTGTACAGCCTCCTAAGTTCCTGGAATGTGTGAAATCCTTGTGCTCCTACAATGTCCTTCCCCAGACTCTTCTTTCCTAGGATCTCCAGTCTGTCTGAATCTTGCCCGATTTGTTATCCCTTGGCTCCAGGCAGTGGTAACTAATGTACAATACTCGCCTTTCATCACTTTTTCTTTTGCTACAGTGCTAGGGACTGAGCCTAGGGCCTCATGAGTGCTAAGCACACGCTCAACCGCTGAACTACATCTCCAGCCCCTCAATGCAACTGACAAATGTCAACTGACAAGCTGCCTCAGCCCTGGGGGCACAAGAGAGGCAAACAAAACAAAGGCAAGCCCTTGAGCTGATTCTTCAGGGATCCACCAGATAGATCAAAATACACAGGCAAGATTCTTGAGAATAAGGTTCATATTGCTCCCTCAGGAATGCAACCTGCTGTGTTCTTGGGAACCACTGAGCTGGGGATGGTAACATGGTAAGGCAACCATTACAGAGCTCTCTTGACAAAACGCCTATTTAATTTTAATTTTCTTCATTCAGCATTCTACTAGTTAAGTTTTTTGTTAAACTCACAATTCTAAAAAAGTAGATTCTGACAGTTTTTGCAAACTTGCTCCGTTGTATGTGTGTACACGGGTAGAGTTCTGGAGTCTGAAGTCCTCTTTCTTATCAATCATGCCACAATCCTTAACAGTTTTACCAACCACCACATCACTTTATCAACATCTACACTACTGGTCATTTCTTCCCAGGCCAGTAATGACGGTTCTTTAAAAATAAGCACTCAGGAGGCTGGGGATTTAGCTCAGCAGCACAGCGCCTGCCTCGCAAGTGCGAAGTCGTGAGTTCAATTCCCAATACCAGACAAAAAAATAAAACAAAACAAACTAACAGACAAAAAAAAAGCACTCAGGGCTAGGGATATAAGTGCCACAAGCGCCTGCCTGGCAAGCACAAGGTCCTGAGTTCAATCCCTGGTACTGAAAAAAAAAAAAAAAAAAACAAACAAAAAAACAAAAAAACGCACGCACTATTAAGATCCTGTTATCTTTTTCAGGAAGAGACAATCTGCAAGAAGGCTCTTCTTTCTTCAGAGTCAAGATTTCTACTTCTTCCCACTTGCCTCTATTCCATGATTTTGTACACAGATAACTTAAAACTGATTCTTATGTAACCAAGCCCATTTCTCTAAAAAGAATTTTTTTTTTTACTTTTCTCTTACATTTTCTTCCTGACCAACTAAAGAATTTTTAAGCCAGGAATGGTAACACACATCTCAACACTTTGGAAGGCTGAGGCAGGATGATTCAAAGTTTAAGCAACTTAGTGAGACCTTGTCTCAAAAAGTAAGAAAAGAGCTAGGGATATAACTCAGCCCAAAGGATCTAGGTTCAATCCTCAATACACGCCCCCAAAACAAAACTAACAAACAGAATTTTTAGATCTGCAAAGTAGAAAGCTTTAAACACTAGCAAGCCATCAGAAAGAAAATGAACATAAAACATTCCCTATGGGTCACTGGAAAAGTCTTTTTAATCTCTAAACCACAATTTCATAGCTTCTTATCTTTTCTACTGCTAAGAAAATCCCTCTTACTGTGGCCTATTCGCTAACTTCAGTGATGTAGATGTATTAAAGTGAAGGCCTCCTCCACAGCTGCGTATTCCCATGGGTCTTAACATTTGGTAGCATGTCATGGTAGGTCCACAGATGATGACAAGAAAGATGCATTAAATGTATTGCTATAATCTAAATGTTTGAGCATCCCCAAAATTCACATGGTAAAAATTCTAACCTCAGAGGTAACAATACTTGGAGGTGAGGCCTCTAGGTAGATGATCAGATCACTCAGGAATGGGATTTGTGAATGCCCTTAGGCAGAAGACAACTTCTCAGCCCTCTGCATCATGTGAGAGCAAAGTGAGAAGTTGTGATTCATTGATGAATCACAAATCAGAGCTCACAAGACACTGAGTCTACCTTGGTCTTGGTTCTTCCTAGCTTTGAGGATTGCAAGAAATAAATTTCTACTATTTATATACCACCCAAACTCGTAGTATTTTGTTAGAGCAGTATGAACGAAGACGTAAGTAGTGACATACAGAAGCAAGTAACCATTAACTGGAAGACAGCAACCTGCTCCTTAACACTGGTGGCTATAAGTTAACTGCAGGGACACTTCCATACCTCATTTTCTGACATCATTCCTGGAGTGAGCTGGGGACTTGTCCCTAAGGAAATGACCAACACCTCTTCTGGTTGTACCTCCTGGATGGTTTCTTGAGATGATCCTTCATGGTCCATATGCAGGTCCATCAGCATATTGGTGCGGCTTCTGCTCCGAGGTGCTTTAAAAAAAAATCAAATGAAGTAATTCAGATAAAGTAAAAATGAAGAAATGGCACACTGAGTAAAAAGCATATTTTCTATTCCTGTTGAACATTTGCGCATGCACAAAAAAGATGTGAAAGTATGGACAAGAAAAAATAAAGCAAAAGAAAAACTAGAAACCTCTCCCCTGTCCCTCCTTCAAAACTGATAATTGAGAAATAAAGATTCACATCCACCAGACAGGGAGAACTACATATGACCACATCTGTAGTGCAGCAAACATATTCCAATCAATTTAAGACCTTGGGGTGGCAAGAAAAATACTATCTTATCTTTTTAAGGTAACTATTTTGATTATAAAACATTTTAACTGTCACAAGTTTCCCATACTACCATGACGAATGTAACCGCTTTGAACAACAAGCATATACTAATAAAAAATTATAAAAGTTTCCCACACTAACAACTGAACTTACAAGCATTAGAAACTTCCATGTAGAAATCTCATAGCCCTATTAAGTAATATATTTTATTCAGATACCTGTTGACAAAACCAGAGTCAGTTTTTGAAAACACAGTTTTCCTCCCTGGGAAACATACTAACTTCTTTCCAAAGATATAGGAGAAAAGATTTTTTTATGCTTGGCTGTGAGGTCCTTTCTGTTTTATGGAAACTTTTTTTTGAGACAGGGTGTTGCTGTAGTTCAAGCTGCCCTTGAACTCACTATGTAGCCCAGGCTGGCCTCACACTCACAAAAATCCTCCTGTCTCAGCCTCCTGAGAGCTGAAATCACAAGCTATGGAAACATTTTAAATTAATGAATGGCCGGGCATGGTGGCACATGCCCATAATCCCAGCACTTGGGAGACCCTATCTCAAAAAAAAAAAAAAATTAAAACTTACTTTCTACATAAAATAATCAAAAGCACAACCAAAAGCAAAACCACTCTATAGTAATGAGTCCTTCCAATTCAACTTTGAAAGCTGGCCTCCTTGAAGAAAGAAGTAGAAATAAAATTACCTTCAAGTTACAATGCTACAGATCTGTCCATTAATCACTTTTAGTCTAAAAACAATAGCAGCCACCAAATTTTGAACTTTACAATAGGTCCCTTCACATCTTTACTTGGTGGCCTTCATTATCTTCTACTGAACTGTGAATTTAACAACTTCATGAGTAGGTCTACTAACCTTAAACTTTCTACTGTATAAAAATGCAAGTGATCAAACTTCACATAGCAACTTACATAAAGCAAAAGCAACATGCACATGGAGTACACGTGTATAAATTATTTCTTAAATCAAAGTTACGTAAGAAGAAGAACAGCCAATAGCAGTTACCCACCAAATGGGGTTACTAGTGTTATATGAGCAGTAAGATTGGTGGCTGAGGAATCCCAGGCAGTGATGGCTGCTAACTGTTGTCCTGGGTTGCGAAAGCATTAAATAGAAACAAAATCAACCCTTTGAACAATGGATGCACTTTTTAAACTATGAAAAAAATGCGGGGCTGGGGATTTAGCTCAGTGGCAAAGCGCCTGCCTGGCAAGCGCAAGGTCGTGAGTTCGGTTCCTGGTACCGGAGAAAAACCAAAAAAAAAAAAAAAAGAAAAAAATGCAATTACCAGGTGACATAACCATGTAAGATTATAGCAGGCAAATATTTGAAATCTACTTTCCTTTAGGTACATACCTAGTGACACTTTTGGATGACAGAGAATGAAAAAGCTAATGTAAGGAAATGAACAATGGGAGGAGGGAATCTACCAAAAATCATTTATATCTTCATGTCAATAGAATACAAATAGCCCATAATATTAAAAATTGTTAAGTAAAATATCATTTTTTTCTATTTTGAATTATGAAACTGATATTTTGGGATGCTAAAGAAAGCAAAAGATTTGAAGAATATATTATCATAGTCCCATTGGTGATATAATTCCACATTATGTTAAATGTAAGGTCAATTAATTTTAAGAAGCTTAACAAATCAGGTCATGGACATTTGTTTTTGTTTTTTTTTGGTACAAGGAATCAAACTCAGGATCCTGTGCTTGCCAGGCAGGCACTGTGCCACTTATATCACCAGCCCATGGACATTTAAAAACGAATCCCATGTATTCAAGATAATGATACATTATCATCACTACCTGTGTTCACTTAGTGTTGCGAGCTCTTCATTATCATTAAGCAGCCACTAAAACACTCCTGCTTCCCTGGCCTACATGTTTTTCCCCAGAGGTTTATTCTGTCTCACTCCTATTCCTCCCAGGAGAGTGTACAGGCCATCTGGATACCTTTCTGATACCACCATCACTTGGATAGTTGGGCTATCCTCCACCCCTATGCTTGTCTCCACTAGAACACTTAGTGGTTGCTTTTTCTCCCCATCCCTATCAGCAGATAACTTGAGAGTAACAGTATGTTCTAAAAGTCTTAGTGTACCAGAGTCTAACACAGTGCCTCATGTGCAGGCCGTATGTCACCCTCACATGATGTCTGCATAGATTAAATTCAGTAACTTTTATAAAGTACTTATCCGGTGTCTGGTACACACCATGTTTTAACTTTTTGTGTATGTAGACAAGTACTTACAAGGTAAATAAAACTTTAATCTAATTCTTAAATGACAAGATAAAATGATACGTTTATTTTATAGTAACATTAAAATATCTTAGCTGATAAACAACCAACTAGCAATAAAGCCAATAATGGAAAATAGCAACTATTATTTTCCATTTAATTAATAGAAACTTAATGTTACTTAGGGCTTGGGGATATAGTAAGTTCCTGACTTAGAAATGAGTTCTGTTCCTGGAGATTTGTTTTAAGTGGGATTCATTCATAAGGTGACAGTGGGGCTGGGGATTTAGCTCAGCGGCACAGCACCTGCCTGGCAAGCACAAGGTCGTGAGTTCAATTCCTGGTACCGGAAAAAAACCAAAAAACCATAAGGTAACAGTGAGTCTTACACAGTACACCTCTGAAAGTTTACAACTCAAGGATTATAGGTCCGGGACTTACTGTATAGCTCAGTGGTAGAGTGTCTGCCGAGCTGACAGTGGTAGCACACATCCTGCCATGGGCTGTTTGTATCACTGAAAGCTCTAAAGGTTTGCCATCATTGGCCTAGCATGTCTGTCATCAGTGCCACACACATAGACAAAGAATTATTTATTACATTATTTGGAACTTTGTACAAAGCAGTGTGCTACCTAATTTTAAGAATGACTATTAAGCCAAGTGTGGTGGTGCACACCTGTAATTCCAGCACTCAGGAGGCTAAAGCAGGTGGATTGCCCCAAAAGTTCAAGGACACCCTAGGCTACACAGTGAGTTCAAGGGCAGCCTACACGACATAGCAAGACCTTGTCTCAAAAAAAAAAAGGACTACTTATAAGCAATGATCTTTTAAAAATCTGTCCAAGAAAAGACACTAAAATCCGAAGTTTATTTCAGGTGACATATTTCAACAAATTATGAAAAATATGCCTAGATAAAAGTAAAGCGTACAGATAAACAGAACTAATCTGACATAGCTTTTTAAATTAAAATAATATCAGTAAACATGAAAAGAAAAACATTTCTACAACATTTAAAACTATATTCCAAAACACACACAAAGGCTAATGAAGAAATTTAGAGAAAAGCCTTATGAGAAACCCTCCTTACCAATAGGTAATCGATTCTTCTTGTTTGCTGGGGTGGTTGCTGGAGACAGCTGAGGAGTACTGTAGGGAGTCATTTCTAAACTGCTGCTTTTTCCTGGCTTAGCCTGGGGTAGGTTTGCCAATAAATTGTCAAGAGCCATTCTGTCTTCTCTCAGTTGATCTCCAGACATCACACTCTTCATAAAATTCACCTGGCAAAATCAGACATTAGCCAATGAAATCAATTTTTCAAGCATAATATATATTCTGACACAAAGTAATCATCTATTACTCTGCTCATTCTTAGCTAAAAGAATTTTGAGAAAATTCTATTTACCAGAGTAAGAAGCTGACTGTAGGTTATATAAACCACTGTTCTGCTCAACCCTTCCAGAAGATTAACAGAGGACATGGGAGGCGTCTCCACTGCACGGCCCCCGATCACAACATCAAGGAATGCAGCAACACAGCTCTATTAAAATAGAAAGAGAGCAAAGTGAAATACTTTGCCTTTAAAATACTTGAATAAAATTTCTGATTATGATAGAAAAGCACACAAAAAGATTTAAAGTTTTGAAAATTACTTAAAACCCAACATTTAAAGAAATGAAACTATATGTTGATACAGAATATTCTCAAAATATTCTGGCAAGCAAAATAAACGTAACACAGAACATTATACACACTACGCTACCTACCATTTCTGAAAAAGGGAGATAAGTGGTATGTGGGAGGATACACATAGGAATCTGCTTATATAAATAGATTTCTACAAGGATGCACAAAACCCTAGTAACTTCCAGAACCTTTTGGAGAATATAAAGACTAGAGATGAAAAATGAAACAGAAATTTCACTGCACAGTATAATCTTTAATTTTAAACGAGGTTACCAGACTGACTGTACTGTATAGCCTACTTAAAATCTGATAAAAATTTTATTAGGTAACTAAATAATGCCATAAATGTTGGATGAAAGACACTAAAAATTATACAAATATTGCTGGTTGATATAACCACAGATTTTATTTATTTATGTATTTATTTTTAGTCTTTTTGAGACAAGGTTTCACTATGCAGTTCAGGCTGGCCTCGAACTCTCTTTGTAGCCCAGGCTGTCCTCAAACTCACAGCAATCCTCTTGCCTCAGCCTCCTGAGCGCTAGGACTACAGGCCTGCGCCACCACACCCAACCTCACAGATTTAATTTAGTGGCAATTTTTTCTTGTTTTTTTGAGACAGGGTCTTGCTATATATATATATAGTTCAGGCTGGCCTTGAACTTGCTTTGATCCTCCTATCTCAGCCTCCCAAGTTCTGGGATAACAGGTGTGTAACACTATGCCAAGCTGCCGATTTTTTAAAAAATAAACTTAAAAAGAAATAATAGCACTTTGATTCTTCTTATAATGACAACTCCACTGTTTCAATAAAGCAGAGTTAGTAATCTCTAGTGAGCAGAGTATGGTACTGCATGCCTGTAATCCAGCAATTGAGAGGCTGAGGCAGGAGGATCACTTCAAGTTCAAGGCCAGCCAAAACCCTGTCTCAAGAAAACAATACCAACAACAAACAATGTGAAATCTTCCTAAATTTAAATGCTGTTGAGCTGATAATGTAGCTAATTAAAAAGCTAATTAATTACTATATTATTAACTTATTTATTTACACACAACCTAAGGACTGGATTTAGTAAAGAAAACAGGCTCACTAATACCTCACAAGAATCTTCTATGAACAGTATTTCACAAAGTACAGAACTCATTCTTACTTTGTCAAATTTTCCAAGGCTGCTTTTTGTTCGGGGATCTCCCTCTTCAGAGCCAGTCATTGCTAACTGCTGCAACAGGCGGCCAACCTGCAACCCAAAACAGTGGCAGACACAGGCTAGAGACACTTGCAACTTCTGTTCTATGAAAGCACTCCTGTTCTCTTCTAAAACTCTTATCTCACAATATGCAGACACACCTAATTAGGCATTGAAAATAGTGTCTCCCCAATAAAATGTGTATTTTGGGGGTTTCTGTTTTGTTTTGTTTTCTCCCGGTACCAGGAATCGAACTCACGACCTCGCACTTGCCAGGCAGGCACTGTTCCACTGAGCTAAATCCCCAGCCCCTTAAAATGTGTATTCTGTCACATCAGCTTCTACTAGTTCAGATTAAGTGTTATGGAGAGAAAGTACAAAATTCTACTGCAATTTCTTTAACACATAGATACCAACATTAGATAAGTTAAAACACATTTCTTTCTGATATGGTACTATTAAAGTGTTTGGAAATTTTTAAATTAATTTAGAAATATTACTCATTAAATTATTTCTAGTTAATATGAAATATTTTTCCCTAAAGAGTCCACAAAGCACTAAGATAGAATATTCTTTTTCTACATTTAAAAGCAAACAATTCCCACAGAGCATAAACTGTTCAGTAAAGTAAATACTAATTCACACAGCAAGTTCTTTACTGCCAAAAGTAATTGTTAATCCAGTTTCTTGAAGGGTAACACGCTGAAGGCAAACACAATTAAGCATCATCTTCTTAGTATCTGAAAGAAACTTTCCATTCATTTCTAAATATGAAATTCGATCTGTACTGAAATGATGGAAGTAAAACTATGAATAAATTACCACACAGAATAAGTGTGTTTCACAGATGTCAAAAAATTTAAAATTTTATTTCAGGAATTTCTATACAGTGAATTGCTTGAATATGCCAAGATGAAACAACTCATCATGAAAAAAAGTTTATCATCTAAAAATAAATCCAAAAATGATCTATTTGAATAAACCCGATCTCTTCTTCACAGTATTTCTGGAGGATATGGTTAAAAGGCTGGGGATAGGGCCAGGGATATACCTCAGTGGTACAAGCACCTGCCTGGCAAGCACAAGGTCCTGAGTTCAATTCCCAGTACAAAAAAAAAAAGGCTGGGAGTAAAAATATAGTAGTAGAGCACACACTTATTATGTGTGCCTGGGTACATATAATAAGTAGCAGGGTGCAGAAGCGCACACCTACAATCCCAGCACTTGGGGAGGCTGAGGCAGGAGGATCACTGCAAGTCTGAGGTCAGCCTGGGCTACATAGGGAATTCAAGGCCAGCCTGAACTACACAGTGAGACCCTGTCTCAAAAAATGAAAAACAAGGCCAGGCATGGTGGCTCACGCCTATAATCCCAGCACTTGGGAGGTTGAGGCAGGAGGATCATTGTAAGTTCGAGGCCAGCCTGGGCTATAAAATGAGTTCAAGACCAGTCTGAACTGCACAGTGAGATCCTACCTCAAAAAGACAAAAAAAAAAAAAGGAAAAAATACTTCCCAGCAGAAAGACATGACTTCACTAGTTCATATGATCAAAGAAAGTGCTAATGTACATCAAAATATCCTCTTTGTGTAACTCTTAGATCTACAAGAGTTTCAGATTTCACAATTTAGAGATTTTAGAAAGGCAATGTAGTACATCTGTGTATCACATCCAGTACGCATACAGTAAAGCCCTATGGTCAAACACATTATCATTTCTACAACAAAACCTAAGTATTCACTAGCACTGAAAGGAATGCTAATTATAAATAGCCTCATATTATGTCAGCTTAAGTTTACTATTCCACATGAGATACAAAAGACACTCAAGATTTCAATCATTCTGCACTTTTTATTATAGAAAATGAATGTTCACCGCGTATGCTGGCACACTCCTGCAATGCCAGCCCTTGGAAGACTGAGGCAGGAATATCATGAGTTCAGGGCAGTGTGGGTTACACAGTGAATTCAAGGCCAGTCTTAACTGCACAGCAAGAACCTGTCTCCAAAAAACAGCTGGAGGTGGTGGTGCACACCTCTAACCCCAGCACCGACTGCTGTGAGTTCAAGACTAGCCTGCAAGTTCAAGGCCAGCCAGCACTACAAAGTGAGTTTTAGGCAAACCTGCACTGAACAGTCATATGCTGTCTCAAAAAGACAAAAAAAAAAGGAAAGGGATAGTGAACTTCTACAAAATTGAATCAGCAATACATATAAGTATGAGAGCTCCACTTAAAAACTAACACAAATCCAGGCATGGTGGTGCACACCTGTAATCCCAGCACTCAGGAGACTGAGGCAGGAAGATCTCAGCCAGTTTGAAGCCAGCCTGGGCTACAAAGTGAGCTCAAAACCAGCCTGAACTACATAGTGAAACCCTGTCTCAAAAAAAGAGACAAAAAAAAAGAAAAAAAAGAACCGAATATAAACATTGTCTTATTTTCTGTTCTCATGCCCACTGCCTAAATCAACTGGTTTTAAAGTAATAAGAGTTGCCGGGTATGGTAGCACACACCTGTAATCCCAGCACTCAGGAGGCTGAGGCAGGAGGATCCTTGCAAGTTCAAGGCCAGCCTCAGCTACAAAGCGAGCTCAAGGCCAGTCTGAATTGCGTTGTAGACCCTGTCTCAAAAATACAAAAAATAAGTAAAGTAATAATAGCAAAAACATACCTGCATCAGATTAAATCGTGCCACCTCATTAATAGGAGCATCAGAAATTATCCCATACTGCTCTGGATTGACAACTGCAGGACAAATAAAGCAAGCCAGCAGGAGATCGGTGCACATCGCCCTGACCTCCCCTATGTCCAGTCTGTCCACACAGGATAGAGTCTTGTACATCTGTGACACAATCCACCGCAGACTATGTGGAAAGCAGTACGTGTTCTGTTTGAGATAACCAATAAATTTGTTCACCAGAGCCACCAGTTTGGCCTCATTGGAATCTACCATCTCTTGAACCTTTTGCCTGAATCTATCTGAGCCTTTCTCCCCGAAGAGTTTTTCTTGCTGAGATGGGGAGAATCTCTCAATTAGCTTGTTTGGATCTGTTTCTAGGTGATCTTCATCTTCAACAAGCAGTTGCATTATTGGCTCATGTAAAGTAGCCGTGAGGAAAAGTTTGGCAGAAAACAGTCCTTCAGAAAAAAGTTTAAATAAGATACTGAAGGCACAAGTTCCTCTTCTCAGAAGTCTCCTGGGGTTGTCACTTTCTTTAAGTTCAAATTCAATCAAGTATCGTAAAACTTGAAGGAGGTAGCTTTCATCTTCCTGCATAATACAGTTGCCATACAGGGAGGTAAAAACTGTGTAAATAACACTTTGTGTGTTCTCCTGATTAAGTTTCTCACCAGCAACCAAAGAGGAGGCGATAAGTCGAGGATTTTCTCTTAATCGACTCAAGAATTCACCGTAAGCAGTCTCCTGAAATCCCAATTGCTTATATCCATCCACAAACTGTGTATCTTCCAAAATCTTGGCGTGCTGGCAACACTCAGCAGGGGATGCTTCAGCACTGATGAAAAACAAGCAAAATAATATTAGTAATAATATAACATACTATACTGAAACACAGGAATATGAATTGATTATAGTACCAATAATGAGATCATTCTCAACTACTACAATCTTTTAGACCAACAGCATATGAATGAGTAAAGATAGACAAAACTAAACAGTACAAAAAATGCCAATCCTTCATACTTAGTAAGTTCAATGAAAACTATCAGTTTATAGGTCCTAACAACTATTGCCCATAGCTGTACTCTATGAATTAAAAAATTAAAAATTTGGTACATTTAAAATCTGCTGGGCTGGGGATATAGCTCAGTAGCAGAGTGCCTGCCTGGCAAGCACAAGGTGCTGAGTTAAATTCCTGGTACAAAAAAAAAAAAGCAAAACTTGCTTATTTATGGACAAAAGAAAGTTTCAAGTACTAAAATATACACAACATGGGAATGTTGGTACATGCCTGTAATCCCAGCAATCTGGCAGCCTGAGGCAGGAGGAATCCAAGTTCGAGCCCAGCATAGGCAATTTAGAGACTTACTGAGAGCCTCTCTCAAAAAAAAAAAAATTAAAATGGGCTGGTGATGTATTTCAGTGTGAATGTCCTGATTTAATCCCAGGCATGGTGAGTTGAAGCAGGAGGATCACTGCAATTTTGAGGCCAGCCTGGGTTACATAATACTACTGCCCCACTGGGGGTGGTGGCGCAGGCCCATAATCCCAGCACTTGGGAGGCTGAGGCAGGAGGATCCTTGCAAGTTCAAGACCAGCCTGGGCTACAAAGTGAGCTCAAGGCTAGCCTGAACTCCATAGTGACAGCCTGTCTCAAAAAGATAAAGATAAAAAAAAAAAAAAAACCACCAAGTCTATGTCAAGTATATTGTTTAAGCTTTCTGAGCAACATGCTGGTAACAAGCTATGGAATCACATCCTTTGACCAGATTTTTCTGGAAACAAACCCTAATAAAATATGTCCAACATAGGGGATAAAAACCTACAACAATGTTTAATATTTCTTTTTTTCCTAACTTAAAAAAAAATCTATTATTACTATGCATGGTATTTTTGAGACAAGGTCTCACTATGCAGTCCAGTCTGGCTTTGAACACATGATCCTCATGCCACAGCTTCCCCCAATGCTGTTTATTCCCCAAATAAACAGCATTCCCTAAATGCTATTTATAGGTTTGTTCACATATGCCACCACACCCAGCTTCTTTTTATTTACTTATTTGTCTGCTGATACTGGGAATTGGGTCCCAAGAGCCCTGAGCTATATCCACAGCCCCCTTTATTTTCACACAAGGAAGGTCTCGCTAAATTGCCCAGACTGGTTTTCAACTTGCAATCCTCCTAGCTTTAGCCTCCCAAGCTGCTAGTATTATAAGTGTGTACTATCATATCTGATTCTAATTTAGTTTTATTTAAGTAAAACACAGCAAAGTTTCTAAATCAATCTCAAATGTGCAGTTTTATAAATTTATATGCAAGTATAAATCCACATAACAACCGCTCAAATTAAGATACAGAACCTAGGCATGATGGCACACACACCTGTAACCCAGCACTTGGCAGGCTGAGGCAGTAATGCTGTGGGTTCAAGACCAGCCTACACAGTGAGACTCAGTCTCAAAAAAAACCCCAAAAAACAAACAAACAAAAGAACAGCTGGATACAATGACACATGTAATAGTCCCAGATACTTGGAAGGCTAATGCAGGAGGATCAGGTGAGTCTTAAAGACTTTTGAGACCACTCCGGACAACATAGTGAGCTCTCATCTCATCTCAAAAAACAAAACAACACTGAATTCCAAATTTGTTCTAGTTTGGTTACAGAAAAAAAGGCTTTTTGCCACTGAAACTTGAACCATCCGTGCCAAGAATGGAAGGGGTTCAGATGATAGCAAAGTTTACCTGCAAGTAAAGAACTGACAATGTGTACAAAGCTTATTTTCTTTCATATGGGCAAAAAAATTAAAACATTTTCCTTAGAACAAAGCTGTGGAGAAATTTTTCTTTTTGAGGGCTGTGGTGAATGGATCAAGGAACATAATAAAATTGACAAAATATTTTAAAAATATGTAAAACATAAACTTAAAAGAAAATTGCTGGTCAGCCTTAGCATATACAGTATTTGGGAAAACAACTGTTAGTTTTCTTGCTCTTGGTAACTGACAAGAAAGGAACAGTTCAGTCTGCAGTGAAGGAATCACAAGCAGATGGTTCGCCTCATTTTCCAGGAGCCACAGCTAAGCTGAACTGTGCAAGTGGTTTAACACTGTATCCCAGGCGGTCTCTCTTCCTTCTCCTGTTTATGTACATATGTATGTATGCATGTATTTTTTGTTTATTTATAGTCTGATTTAAAACGATCAGATTCAGGCCAGGGATATAGCTCAGCAGCACAAGCACCTGCCTGGCAAACACAAGTTCGTGAGTTCAATTCCTGGTACAAAAAAATAAAAAATCAGATTCAAGTTGATTAATTTTAGTTATGTAACAACCTGACATGGAGGAAACAACGTGTTTTTCATGTTAAGAAAAAAAAATTTAAAGCAACCCCAAATGCCTGTGCATGCCCTTTCCCCGTCAATCATTTTTGCAAGCACATAAATAGCCATTACTCTAATTTCCAACATCAAAGATTATTCCTGTCCCTTCTTTAAATTTTTTTTTTAGGGGTTTTTTGAGATAGGATCTCATTATGCCGTTCAGACTGGCCTTAAACTCACTATGTAGCCTAGGCTGGCATTGAACTCACAGAGATTCTCCTGCCTCAACCTCCCAAGTGCTGGAATTACAGGCACGTGCCACCATGCCCAGCTCTTGTCTCTTTGAATTTCATGTAAATAGGAGTCACACAGTTATGTCTGGCTACTTAGCCTACTTCAGCACTACATTTTTTTCCCCTAGTACTGAGGATTGAACCTGGGGCTTTTGCACTGAACTATAGTTTGTTTTTTTTAAAGAAAGGGTGTCGGGCCAGGGATATATAGCTCAATGGCACAGCGCCTGCTTGGCAAGTACAAGGTCCTGAGTTTGATTCCTGGTCCAAAAAAGGGGGGGGTATGTCATTAAGTCACTAAATTGCCCAATATAGACTTGAATTTGGGATCTTGCTGCTTTAGTCTCCCATAGTACCAGGATTATAGACATTTGTCACCACACCTGGCTAGCATCACTATTCTTACAATTAAAAAGTGCTTCTTGGGATAACAGAAAATGAGGTATTAACACACTGTATAAGTGGTTTCTAAACCTGAAAAGTAAGATACACAGTATCAAAATATGAAAATGTATATTTAAATATGAGAAAAGTAAAACTTAAGACTATTCTGTACAACAAAGTGTTACATACACAAAAACAGGCTTGGGGGAGGTGGCACATGCCTGTAATCCCAATACTCGGGAGACTGAGGCAGGAAGATCATCATGAATTTGATCAGCCTGGGTTACAAAGTGAGCTCAAGGCCAACCTGAACTACATAGCGAGACCCTGTCTCAAAAAGACCCAAAAAAAAAAAAA